GAAATATTCTTACGAGATTTTTTTTTTTTTTTTACAGATTGTAATATATTTTTTAGCATTGTTTCCTTTTTTTCTTTTTTGATTAAAATTGATTATTTCTAGTGCAGCAATAAATTATCAAAATTGCAAAAAATTTCTTTTTCCCCAAAAGAGTTATCATCTCCGGTTTCTTCTTTTCTTTTTTTTTTTAATTTTTCTTTTTGAATTTTTGATATAGAATCTTCATAATTTGTATGAATAAATAGAGAAAGAATCAGAGAATGAGGGGAAAAAAAATGAGTGAACGGAAAGAATGAAATTATTGTAGTTTTATTGAATTAACAGAAATAGATGTAAAACATAGAATTCTCAAGATTTGTCATTAATTTTATTACTTTTAACCAAGTTATTTATGCTTTACAAATTTCTTATTTCATTGATTGCTTTGGTACTTATTGACAGTAATGAAAATGATGGAAAATAATTCAATCACCTGGATGAATTGATTGAAGCTAACCTTACTCATTCGTTTCATCATTTGACAAAATTCCGGAAAATCAATGGTACCACTACCATCGATATCCACTTCATTAACCATATCTAACAATTCTTGTTCTGTCGGATTTTGTCCAAGTGATCGCATCGCAACGCCAAGTTCTTTTGACGATATTGAACCATTTCCATCCTTTCATATTACATATTTTTCCCACTCATATTTTAAGGTATTTTTTTTGGAAAAACTACTTGCAAAAACTGCAACTACTTACAAGATAATAATTTATTTGTTATTTAGTTGACAATTATCATGTTTTATGTGAGACGGATTAGTCATGTAAATTTACATTTGCATACAATAATGTGTCAGAATAAATTTCTTCAAATTTTGAATTTCTGAAAAAAAAAATTTCTGAAAAAAAATTTCAGAAATTATGTTTGTTTCCTTTTTTTCTCTCGATGCTAAACATTGGTAGCAACTGATTGATTCAAAACAAAAGTTTTTGTTTTAATATTTTTTTGTTTGAACTGAAAGAAAAAAATTTTCTTTCACTTTAAATGCACTAATAATTCACATTTATTGATAAGATATCAATTAAATGACGAATATAATTTTGCTTATCAATTTATTTTTTTTTAAATTTTATTTATCCATTTATTGATATTATTTTATTATAAGCATATTTCAGTCTTGCGCTTGCTTTTGAAAGCGTATTTTAGTACAATGAATTTATAATGAAGGAAGTGATTTTCAAATTTTTTTTTTTTTTGAGCTCTAAGAATTTTTTTTAAGTCCTGAGAATTTCTTTTTTTTTGAGCTCTAAAAAATTTGAGCACTAAAATGACGTAAATAATTCATTAAAATTTCAATATGTTTCACTTTAACATGCTTTTATAAAATTTATGAAAAATTGTAATTAACCAAAAATTGAGATAATTACATCAATTTTAAGAAATCACACAAACACTTTTATAAAATTTATTGGAAACTGTGAAATAATTAAGCAAAAATTGAGATAATTACAGCAATTTTAAGAAGTCACATGAAACACTTTTATAAAATTTATTGAAAACTATGGAATAATTAAGCAAAAATTGAGACAATTATATCATTCTAAGAAATTAAACAAACATCACTTGATATTTATAACTATTCAAACGATGCATAAAAGATGAAAAGCTAAAATTTTAATTTGATATATCCTTTATTATAATTAATTTAATCTTTTGTTCATTCCTTACATGACTTTTCTTAATGAAATTGCATGAAATTATATTTAACAATTTAATGTTTGATAATTTTTGGAAAAGAAAAAAAAAAAACGACTTACTTTATCAAAAAGATGAAATGCTTCTTTATATTCAATCATTTCATCCTCTGTTATACCTTCAAATTGTTCATTTCTATTTTGTTGTTTCCAACGATTGAACAATGATGATTTACGTTTGCTACCCATAATTTAACCTGTTATAATATAAAAAACATCATATCATGATTATTTATATAAATCGGTATTTATAGCTTCGATTAATATAATAGCCTTAACATGACTTATATAAAATGTGAATAATCAGGAAGTAATTCTAGGATGTAAAATTTCAAGTATATACTTTAGTTATTCAGCATAGCAGTAGAAAAAGTACGTATAAAAAAAACTATAAAGAATTATAAAGAATAGAAGGGGTTTTTTTTTTTTGGACCGACAATAATAAAAGTACAATTGATGAGGACAATTTTTAAATTTTAATTTTACTTGAATGCAAAATATGAAACATTTTTTGAATTATTAATTTTGAAAAGCACTAAATTTGGAATGAATTATTAAATTAAAATTGGCATTTTATCTGAATTTCAAGATTAATTTTAAAAATATTGTTGTGAGATTCGCACTAGCTTTTAGTTTTATAATTTTTTAAGTAAAAAATTTTGAATTTCAAAAGGAAAAGACGGAACTA